CCCCAAAACCCCAAAACCCCAAAACCCCAAAACCCCATTAACTATATACCACATTGATAATAACATTTTACTTTCCTTATTCAGAGTAATTCTTGACTCTATCTCTCAGCACCTCCATGATCAACTTGACGTTGCTAAACCCTGAGTCTATTAACTTACTGTTTCCTGATAAATTTAGCTCTATTGACTTCTGCTTTTTCCTTTTCTCGTTCTCTGATCATTTCGATGGTTTCGTAGGTGTCGTCATTGATGAACTCTTCCAACTTATAGAACTCGGCGATGTCCTCTCTAGGAAGAATTAGACTAAGCTTACTTTTTGATAGTCCCGAAACCGTACAGGATGTCATCAGCATGAAGTACATACTCCTGGGCTGGATTAAGCATGACCACTGAAATAGGAGGAATCTTGATATTCTCTGCCTCTTTAGCATGAGGATCTTGTGAATCGGAATCTTGTTGATCATTCTCCCATCCTTTTGATTGATGATATTCGTCATTTTTAAGGTCCTCAAGCATATTGCCCAGGAAATCTAGCTTGAAGAATCTATGATGAAAGGGAACACATACCTTGAGAATGTCAGTATACCTATCGGCAGAATTTTAACAGGCGAGTGTTCACTCATAAGCGAGCTGTACACCTCACCATACTTCCGCCCTTCTAAAATTGAGTTTTTGACTTGTAAAGTCATTAATTGGTTCGAATCAGGCCTGCTATCAATCATATCACTGATGAACTTGAAGCAATGGGGGTTGTTACACATTATACTACCGATGTTTAGAAGCAGGTAGGAGTTCAATACTTTTCCATTCATGAAAGAAGTTGAATACACGTTTGTTAGATCAAGGTTGTTGTTTTGGAAAATTGTATTTTCAACTAGTTTTACACTCTGTTCGTTCTTAAGATTCACTCAGTAAGGTACGTTTGGGAACCATTCTTCAATATAGTTTGCAATCACAACAGCGTCCATATCTACCATCTCAGAACTCAGCTGTGAAGGTGAACAGATAATAACATGTTGAGCTTCGCGGACCACTATTGATAAGGTATTGACGACTTTAGGGTTTCCAATAAACTGGAAGATTCCGTCATATTTCTTATACAACTTCCTTATCCCATCAGATGAGCTGCTGGGATCACAGATAACCTAGAATGAGTCAGCAAGCTTACTATTGGGATCTCGGTCATTTCTCGTATTGACTTAACATAGTATTCTAAGCCCTCCTCATAGTTCAAAATAGCAATGTGTTTATTTTATTTTAGCCATATCTTGCTCACTCCAGATAACGTTGTCTTTTAACCTAGATTGATGAGCAAGGAACCGTACGAGCGTTGCCATGAGAACTTCTTGAAAATAGTCGGGATTATGCAATGTAATATCTTTTGCTTCACATCCTCATTATCACCTCTACCTAGGCTAAGCTTGCTTTCCTCCTCAAGATCTTTTGGCTGATCTTTCCATTGACTCTTTTTCCTTGTTTTTGCTGAGTTTTGGATAGAAGAATTAATCCTTACGCTGCCTTCTTTCCTACCAGCTGCGAAGATCTTCTCAAGGTTACTGTAGCCAAGGCTTTTCTCAATCTATGAATTAGTAGAGAGGGACTTACATGAGAGTTACTGAAGCCATACATCCGTTCGGTAAGATGCTCGTTCATCTTAATTGCCTTCTGCATTTCTCGAAGCATCTTGTCAGCTTCGGTTTTTTCCTTCAGCAAATTCCGTATCTTCGGGTTATTAGCCATGAACATGCCTCTGACCTTAGTCGGGTAATAGCCTTGCTCAAGGTTATCATTGCCAATATCGAGCGCAGAGTCCCTAATGATTCTTCCAAATGGAGCATACAAAAACTCTTCAGCATGAGTAATTTCATTGGTCTCTACAAGTCCGATCATTCTGAACTTGATCTGTTCGCTTCTGAAGTGCTCATGTTGTTCGAGCAGCTGAATTCTTTTAACAGCTTCCTCGAAGACCATGTTTTCAAGAACGTATGGGATTTCTCAGACATAGAAGTTGTATGAAAGAGATCTAAAGGTCAGAATTGGCTTACGCATAATATTCATCACAGAAATTATCGTGAAAAGACCCCTCAGTCTTGATAACAGGCACTGGATTTTCCACTAGGAATCATGCCAAAAGTGGAATGTACCCCGGTTCGAAGGTAGCTTTGGAGAACAACTTGTATTTGAACTTACTGTATTAGCAACATTAGTGAGAATTTCGAAAAAGGAAAAGAAAATCCGAGGTTTAGAGGTATCAAGGGTAATTAAAAGGTATTTTACCTGTATCATAAAGCCTTAGTCATTGGAATAATTTCAGGAGAAACCTTATTCTCCTTCTTCACAGGATGGTAGGTCTCCATTGCATCTTTCTCTGAAGAATCATCACTCTCATTCTCTGATGCCATGGTCTCGATCCTCATCCGCTTCTTTGCATTCATATTGACCAAGAACTGCTCGTTCTGTACGACTAATTGTACATAAATCTCACACTTAACGCCTCGATTTCTCAAATAAGCTTCTTCAAAGCTAGCCTGGTTGTCTTGGCCCTCAAGGTTGTGCAGGAAGGGACTGCTAATGAAAAAGATTCTCTTTGCCTTTTTCGCACAGGATTTCGTAATAATCTTAGTATTTATACCAGTACGAGTGGAGAGGAAGTACACCCTCCCCTCGAAAAAGTCAAATTCAGTTAGCTTATTTCATTCTCGATTCCATTGAAATATCGTCAACGATTAGGATCTTCTCGTCTGGGTTGTGAGCAAGGTAATGAAGAATAAACGAACTTATCTCAGCCAATTTGTTCGAAAATATTATCGTGTGAGACCTCAAATTGTACTTTATGTCATATTTATCCGATTCACGAATAGATGAAACAATTTTGGAAATCTGATTACTTGTGATAAGAAGCATTACCACGATTATGAGTGCCAGGATTATCCTGAGTGAACCCTTTTCAAAGAGAATGTCACCATACCCGATGACATAACCTGTGGTCAGCATGAAATAGAACCCATCCACAAATTTCATCTCTTCAGTAGTGGAGTTTGAGGTCGAATCTTGCATGAATAAACTCACACCTGTGCTGATAAACAGAATTGCGAACATAGTAATGACCATAACGAGCAGATCTTTGTTTAATTTTCTCTGAAGGACTTCTTCAAGAGGTCTCATTTCGTTGTTCCTTCTTCCAACTTGTAATTTCTGGAAGGTTTTTGTAAATTTGACTATTCTCATGATTTTGAAGACTCTCAAAATCCTTAAAAATCCAACATTAAAGGTGCCAATAAAGGAGAGTAAGCCAAGGTACTCTGGCACAACAGTGAGGAAGTCAATCCAGAACTCATTCTTCCTAAAATATAGGTACTTTGGCTTGCTGTGATAATAAAAAGTAATAGCCATTTCAATAGTAAAGTAGATACCGATAGTCAGCCCGATTATGTCAACAGTGTTACTAGAACTATATGTTTCAAAAATAAACAGGAAGCAGGCAAAGACGTTAATCAGCGCTTGGAAGATGGCAATGAAGAGTTGTAGGCACACCCAAACGATCTCGTGCTTGTTAGACTCCTTGATAATTTCATTTTTACGCTTCATTAGCTTCTTCCGATACATTTCTTGATTTCTCACATTTCTAATCACCTTTGTGCCGGTCTTGGACTTATTATTCCTAAAGATGGAGAGCGAAACCTACTTGAAATCGAAATTAGACCGGTTGTTGGACTTTTTGGTGAGGTAATCCAACCGCTCTTCATCAGGTAAGGAGACTTTGTCACTTTTAAGGTTCAAAGAGTCGTCCATGTTGGGGAGTATCCTGTTAGTTCCGCTTTCTAAGATTAACCTTATTCTCCGTATCTGGTGGGACTTGGTCCTCGTACAAGACTTCATCTTCCTTATTGGTCTCAACCTTTTCAGTTTTCTTCGGTAAAGAGTTGAATCGAATGAATCTCCTATGAAAGATGACGAAGGGAAATGTAAAGGCTTACGCTAGAATGGTTTCCTTGAGACTGCGCTTGTTCTCAATAATCAACTCTTCCTCGCATGAGTCAAGAGCACTGTTGAGGTCTCCATCCTTTACACCAGAGTTCTGCTCTCGAATTGTCTCTACAGAGTTAGTGAATATACTTACCCATTTTGGAATTCATTTAAATTTTATAATCTTTTACAAAAATTTCAGTAATATCTTCGTAAGTTGGGGTTTTGGGGTTTTGGGGTTTTGGGGTTTTGGGG